AAAAAAAAAAAAAAAAAAAAAAAAAAAGAAATTATTTAAAATTGAATGATTTGAAACTTCGAATGAGAGACGGAAATTTCTTTTTCCTCAAGTATCTTAAGCGCTTCAAAAAAAAAATCAATAAAGCCAATGCTTTCGTATCGCTGCTCACGAACAACTTAATATAGCTATGACTAATTAGGTCAAATCAATTTTTTTATAATCTACATCCGTTAACGTTTTAAATTGTCCCATGAACTAGTTTGTCACGATAATATTCCTCCGTGATAATATATTATAATTTATTAAATATTAAATTAATCAATCAGGGGAAAAAGTATAAAGATGAGTGAAAGAAAAGAGAAAGGAGAATTGTATGGAATATTTTTTATTTATTAAGATTCAGTTTTTTTTTTTCAAATTAAACGAGAGAATTCTCGTCGTGATATGTATCGCGTCATTTCTATCCTATGTTGAATCTTCTCAAGTGCAAAGTATTTTGTTCGTGAAAGGACTTCGAATTATCGATTATCTGAAAATTTATTTGCTTCACTTTCGCGTGTAAACTCGATAAATCGGATTACAGTTGTGAATCGTTACCTTATGCGATCACGATTAAGTATCGAAAGAACGGGGAAAAGAAAAAAAAAAAAAAAAAAAAAAAAAAAAAAAGAAAGAAAGAAGGAAACGTGAGTAAATTATCGCGTCTGAAATGACGAAAACAGGTGCTATTCGATAAGTTAAAAAATAAAAAAAAAAAGAAGAAGAAGAAGAAGAACGATAAAGTATTTCGATGAACAAAAGAAAAGGCAAAGGAAGAGGCGAGATATTATAGATAGATCTTTTTAGGTAGAGAAAATATTTTGCATAATGTACACGCAATTGTATCAAAATATCCACGATCCGAGTGTACCTATGCATTCATGAAAAAAAAAAAAAGAAACGCCCCCCCCCCCCCCCCCCCCTTGAAATATTCCTCGGTATTTGTCGATTGTCGAGGCATTGCGAGGTTGATTAAAAAAAGAAATATTTGTATATTTTACTTTATTGCGACGAAAATATTCGTATTGATTGAAGGAAATTTTTTCCAAGAAGGATGTATAGATGATCGAATTTACGATTATATAAATTATCCTCGAGAGAAATATTCAATAGTTAAAATTTGAAGATAATTCTATGGTTCGAAGTATTGTATAAACGTTTTAAACGGGCCATGTATATTTATAGCGAAAATCGATCGCTACGTCACTTCCACTTTGCCTTGAATCTGACAAAGTGTACGTACGTATATAATAAAATTATTCAGATCCTTAGTTTTAACTCGAAGAAGAAGAAGAAGAATTATATTG